TTCAGCTCCAACCTCAATTAAACATTCCCGAACTAGCCAATCAAGGGAAGTTGGAACTAAATTCTGCAAGACAGTTGGTCCCCCAGGACTGAGTTTGGACACCCCTGGCCCAGGAGGTTCTTCACCATGTCCTCTTTTAGAAATGTCTTTCTGGCCTGTTATATGAGACTAAGCCTTTGTCCATCTTCACACTGACATCGTTGTCACACAGGCATCAGTTTCTGACTCATTCAGAATTTGATTACCAATTAAAACACGCTGACACACGCAGGCACATGTACTCTTGTTCCCAGGTTGTGTTTTGGCTGTTAACAGTAATAGCAGACACTGGCAGACAGAAAGAATGACTTGGAGAAATGTGTGTGTTATTTTTGGAGAAAAGAAGTGAATGATAGAAAAAACACAATTGTCATGGATACCAACAAACCTGTCCGACTTCTGCTCTAAATTTGGATTCCTCATGTTACTGTTTGACTACACACGCATTTGCTGGGCCAAACACTCATACACTAATGAATAGACAACTAACACATATTGTACCACAAATGTCCAATTTGTTTGTGAGGAATAACTTGGATCAGCTGTACAGAGTATTGAAATTAAATTTCAATGTGTATGAGTGTGTGTGAGGTACTCTAATCTCCATTTGAGATATAAATATCTTGTAACAACATTCTGTGGTTGTATGAGGTAAACTAGGCTATTGTGCAGGTCTCATTCAACACTCAGTCTGTGTAAAAGACAAGGGATGTAGGGCTACTCTTATAATCTTACTAGATTCAGATACTGCATGCAAAGGAAACAAGACAGAATAGAAAAATGGGCCTGGGGAATCGTGCAAAATAACATAACAACTGACGCAAATTCCTAAAAAGGCCTCAGATACGGTCGTCGGAAAACCTCTGATTCTTAGATATTAGTCAAATAAAACGAATCCCGAATTAACTAAAAATTCATAAATCGGTTTAAGGTAATTTATTACTGGTTTGCGCGTGCTCGACACTGGAATCTAAACAAATACTTAGTTGCGTCACAACAACATATTTTAATCCATAAGTTAGCTCGTAATATTAACGTTTAAATATAGGCCTGTGAAGTCAACTTTATTATAGCCTTTAAAGTGAATATTTTGTCAAATTCGCAATTTTATAAATGCAGCGTCCCTAACTCTAGAAGAGTTTGTAAATTTGTTCAGCATTGTGTAACCTGTTAGAAGATTCCTCTGCTTCTGTTTGGTGGCCTGCTGGCCTTTTCTCTGGCCTTCCTCAAGCGTGAGGGAGGAATTTTTCTCTCAGATAACCTTTTGCTCTGAATTCCGCCAAGAATGTGAGAAGAAGCAGAATAGATGTCTTCAATCCTGTTTTCACCAGTTTTGAAACGGGCAGAACCCATTATCGTTCATGTTAAAAATGTGGTTTTGTTTATTCATGTGATAAAAAAAAAAAAATCCAGAACGATTATTCGATATGTAGCAGCTATAGCCTACTTATTTATTATTATTATTATTAGATTATAAAAAGCATTATAAAAAAATCCGTATTTAGTCTATTAACAAGTTACTGAGGAGATTCGTATTAACGCGTTTTTTTGATCCAGATAAAACTTACACAACTTTCACGAGAATCCTAGATTTCATGGTGCTCTTGTGCGTCTGGTCAGCTCAGGGTCATGATAAGTTCACCTGCGTTTTTTAACACATTCAGTTGCATGAACCCTGACGGCCTGCTGAGTGGGTTGCGCTCCTTTCCACTTTTGATGGATTGTGAAGAAAAGCTTTTTTTTTTAAGTTGGTCTTGCACCATGGGCTATTTAACTATGGGCAAACTTTCACGAAACTTTGCGGGTTCAATGATGTGATATCATTTCTTTATGCGGTGTTCTAGTGCTAAAATCATATTAATAATTTAGTCATTGCAATAAAAATTATAACAACGTGACTGTTAGTGATTATTGGTTATTGTATTGTTATTGTAAACAATTAAAAGAATAATAGTAATAATAGGCTAATTAATCGATTAAAATTTGATTTTTATTTAGAAATAATTGGTGTTGTTCAACTGACACTGAATGTAAGCTTTAACATGCGTTTTTTTAAGTTTAATAAAGTTTTTACCCCATTGCTATTCAGAAGAGTAGCCTAATGTTTCAGCTAAAATATCAATGCTACATTTATCATGAGCGATTGTAAATAATTGTCTACTAATAATAATCACCATAATAATAATTATTATAATTTTCAAATGCAATTGAAAGTAAGTTACAGTACCCAAAGTATTTAAAATTGAAAACAGACCACGAAAAATTAAAAGGAAAAAAATGTATCTCGGGTGCCCTCATAAATAATTTCATGTGAGCATAGAGATGTGGAAATTGCAAAGCAAAATAGCCCACATTGTCAAGTCAAAGCATAATCTTCAGTTTACTACAAATATGTTTTTAAATGTGAAAATTCCTGATGTTATGTATAATTTATTTTTCGTTCATTTACCTGCAATTTTAAACATTTTTACTTTATAACCGTATTTGAGTAGCCTTATGTATTAAAAAAAAACATTCTGAATCTTACTAGAACAGATGTAAAATATATATACTTATGTCAATATGTTTTAATCGACATCCTGCAATTTTAGCTAATTCACGAAAAATAGCCTAGCGATTAAGCTATCAAAGGCCAAGACTCTAAATTCTCTGTGAATCGGGGACATCTTGAGGTTTTTTTTTGTTTTTGTTTTTTTAAGCATGTATTTACAGTTTGGTAAAAAGACTGTCAAATCAAATAGCTACTGACCGGGGGAGAGGGGAGACACGGGTGAACAGCTAAAAAATTCTAAAGGGACTAAAGTGAAGCCCCAGAACAGTGCTTGCGGCTCAAGACCTGCGCGTGACCCGGCGAGATGGAAGCCCGTCCGCAGCTCCTGACAAGCTGACCTGCCTATTTCGAGTATTAATTTGGGCCTGAACTCTGGGTGAACCGAGGCCAGGGGAGAAGCAGTCAGGGGATGTTTGAGGCAGGGCCCAGGGCAAACCTGTCCGCCTGAGCAAATATTGGGGTAGTCCGTCAGAGTGTCGTGGATGAAATGGAACTGTCAAGACCGCGTAAACTTTGGGGAAGAGGTGAGGCCACAAGAGAGAGAGAACAAGGGGGGAAAAGTTAGGCAAACTCGTTTCCTAAAATGTTCGAAAAACGACCCCCAAACCCTTCCGACCCCCCTCCACTAGTTCTCTTCAGCACTTGTCAGCACCCTCCAGCTCAGAGTTCATTCCCCCAGTTCTTTCACCGGAGTTTGCCCTCTCTCGCTCACCTGCTTTCCTCTGCTTGTGTTTTTGAGGTGGCGCAAGTAAACCGAGTGTTCTTTAAGTCTGACGTGTATAATTGGATGTGATGCTCAATGAGATATTTTTTTACAATGAGCAGTGACTCAAAATTAGGTTATACACATTGATAAAGAATAATGTTTGTCCAGTCTTCATGACAGTCCTGAACCAATCCTGTGGATATACTGTATGTAAAACCATCATTTGCAAGAGGCAGCAATGCACAAATCTCAATAGCCTACAGATTAGGTAGCCCTGATTACAAGATAGTCTAACAAAAAACTACTGAAACAAATCGAATATTTAATTAAAACACTTTCCTTTTTCTATTTTTTGAGAATGTTACAAGCTTTTTGCTTTTCAAATGTTGGTTAATGCAATATCTTGCTATGGGACAGTGAAGTCACTGTCAGAGACTCGTCTTTTTTTTTTTTTTTTTTTTTTTTTAAAGAGTTCAGGTAAAGTTAACGGTGACCTCTATTTAAACCCCCTACTGTAAGCATCACTTCACGTTTCAATGCAGAGCAGGGAGGTTGACCGCGGGGGTAGCGGCCGGATCAAAGGCCCGTTCAGGGGGCTACAGGACAAACGTCCTGAACAGCGTGAGTCAAATCTGCACCAGCAGATGGTCCAGAGCCTATCATAGCGCATTTGCTGTATCGTATTTATTTCCTCTGTATTGATATATTTTGAGCCAACTCTGGCTAATCACAAGCTCATAAAATACAAAATGATATATGGAATAAAAGAAATAGAAAAAGTTACTAAAAGTCTTTCTTTCGTAATATTAAGGACATTGTCAATCATATGTGTCAGAAACTATTCTAATTATATTATATCTAATAATTGAATATGGTTGTGGTTTTAAACATTTCTTTAACGTTGTTGCAGAAGCCAGTCTGCAATGCGTTTCATTACCGGAAGCACCCAGTGAGCTGGTGTCCGTGAATGCCACTGCAACCCGTGGACCTTTTGCTACCACTATAGCAAAAAACAAACTTCTATTTCATGGCACAAGTTTAAATCTTACTGGGGTTTTCTTTTCTTTTTTTTCTCGATTTTTATTTGTTTATTTTTATTTTTTTGCAGTGACTTTACTGTCTTTGTCAATTACAATATTATTTCAAAAACCGATGGAGAGATATAGGCTAATGCGAGGTGTCGAAGTCGATATTTTTTCCCTTTTAAGAATGCTTAATTTGTTGTTATGCACTCGTGAAGGATATTTTAATGCTTATAAACGAAGTTGTATGGTTTTAAAAGTTTTTAATGTGTTAGCCATGAAGTAAATTCATTACAATCCTAAATAACTAAAATGCGCCACCCACAATTCTGTTTCGTTTCTTGAAAGCATGTCTTTCTTTTAATTTGCTCAGGCTCGGTGCTATTTGTGCCACCCCTAAACCACTCAGTGAGCGAGTCTGTTTGTATGTTTAGATATCCCAGAAGAGCAATGAGGTAAAAAGGTCACCGTGAACCACCCTGATTGCTCACCAACATTCCGTGCCTTGCTCAGAGCATCGTAACACTATACTGACTGGTCGCTTTCTCACCCTCCAAAAGAAGAGAAGGGCAGTTAAACCCATGTCATCATATACTCAGCTATAGGCTACTAACTTTTTTTTTTTTTTTTTTTTCATTTTTCTGATGTTCATTTTTATATTTTTCATATATTATTTACACATGCTTATATGTAATCTAGAGACTGGTTCAGTAAAATAATGTTTTTATTTGAGGTAGATAAAGAACTGACAGAAACAGTTGATTGAGACATTTAGATTACGGAATCATACAGACAGTAACTGATAAAACTCAGTTCGTCTATGCATAAAATACTAGGCTAAAAAAATCTAATTCTGTAAATGTTTTAATTAAGAAAAGTAACACCCTGCATTGTCCTTTTGTTCTGTAAACGGAACGGATCATTCCCAAGGCGCATGCCACATGTTCTATATCCAAATTAAGCCCGACTGGCAACACAGTATTAATTATTTCTCGCTGTAAATTAACTAGTAATGGAATATCACTGTGTACATTGAGAGGGAATCGTTCACGTCTTCCGGTCAATTGTGCTGGTGTTCAGTAAGGGCCTACCCTGTAAACGCATAGTGCAAGGAGTCCGAAAACCCTTATAAGCTACAATCCACAAAACTCGTGTATACATGTGTACATCAAATAAATCATCATAAACGCAACAAAAACACCAATACATATTTTGACAACACAGTAAGCTCCCTGTAAAGTCAGTTAGGTTCGTTCGGAGACTTGTAAACATCATGAAAGTGCATTCATCATTATTGTAGAAATACCCTGTATAACACACACAAACATTTCCAATGAGTTTTGGAAATTTTGTTCTAGCAAACGGTGTATGTCCATTGTTGTGCTAAAAGTCTCTTTACTTTTCACTTTTTTTCTGTTTCCTTAAAAACAATTGTTCTATAATAAAAGAACACGAGAAAGTCTTTCTGGCACATTTTGGAATGCTTAAATTAATAGATTTTACGATATATTTCGAATCTGCTGTTCAATGCACCCAAAGTTATTCTCCTCTGTTAGGAATCCGGACTTGGAGAAGCTCCAGGAGATGTTGAAGTTGAGTGATCAGAGTGATCATCCAGGTCTTTAGACAGGGTGGATGAAGCAGGCGCGAGTCCCTCCTTCTCTCGCTTCTTCTGCTTCATTCGACGGTTCTGAAACCATATCTTAACCTGTGTCTCGTTTAGCTCGAGCGTGGCAGCGATTTCAACTCGCCTCGCTCGCGTGAGATACTTGCTGAAGTGAAACTCTTTCTCGAGCTCTGTGAGTTGTTTTGTTGTGAAATTCGTCCGAATTGTGTTTTGCGGTCCCAGTCCGTATTCTGCAACTTTAGCTGCGAGGAAAAAGTGAAAGGATGGTTACATGACTGTTTGTCAAACAATTGAACACAGATAAATTAATAACAATCATAATGAATTGCCTTATATTTATTAAAAATAAAACGCCAACAACAATCAACTGTGCGCGTGCTGGTTGCCATTATCCTTAATTAGATGTGACGATTTAAATTCAACAGTTCAACAAGTTATTCGGTATTTCAAACTTTTGCTGACCTTACCATAATTCCCCTGTCTGTACTTATCAATTTTGAAAGAACTCATAACGGAGTATATGGAATACATGCAATTCAATACTCCCCAAAGATGGCTTTATGACCACTCAATTTGTACAGTATGTCAAAATGGTGGCCCCTTTGCCATTAAAGTTGGTGCACTAAATCGTTGTGAGGCAAACACGACTGGGACAGGAGAGGGAAGCTTAAGAACACAATGGAGGCCAACAAAAACGAATATTGCGCCACGAGAACCAGTACAAGCTAAAGAAAACATTGCTATTGCATATCCTATGGCGAACGAAAGCATGTATGTTTGATGCTTTAACGCAGGGGGAGGCGGGTTGAAACAAATGAACCGCCCGTTTTAAAAATGATTTTGATTTTTAGATATCTTAGGTTAAAAGTTTCTAATTTGTGTATAATGTGTTATACTTTGGTTATGTAAGATCTGAAAGCTTATTCGCTTTATGTAAGGCATAATTTCTGTCGATTTGAGTGTACGGCACTATATATTTGCTTCAAATAGGCAATTCAATCGACCTGTTTTTGGGGGGTTCCTTTTTACTTTCATCCAATCGAATGTCTTCCCAGGTGGCGACTGATCCGTGTCAGTCTCCCTCTCTTGGGAGGCCGATAAGTCGGCATAAGTGCCCTGTGAGTAGCCTCGCTGGTGGTCCTGGCCTTCGCACCCATGATGCTGAAACGGTGCGGCTGGAACGGCTCCCTGCGCTCCGCAATAGGCACTAGCCATGGAGCCATAGTGAGGACCGACATTTGAGGTAGAAAACCCCGATGAGTGATAATACATCCCATCCTGCTCTGGGTTTATGAAATACTGATGTTGAGCATAGTCCGGGTTGGTGCAGGCCTGGGTCCCATAACTAGTCCCCGTGCCACCGTAGGTGAGGCCAATGCCACCCTGATGAGTTTGGTGCTGGTGATGCGCGTAAACGCCGCTCTGGTGCTGATGTTGTGCTGTTGCTGGCTGGTTGCTCCCCCCTACGTAAAGTCGTCCATCAGAGTTATAGCTGTCATTTGCGTGTCCGGTGAGGAAGGGGCCCGAGAACGTCTGGTCGGTGTGGTGGTATCCAGCCTTGGGCGAGTAGGCGTTCGTCCCACGGTTACAAATTGTGTACTCTAAGAAAGAGTTCATTCTGGAATTGTCCATGCGCTGTTAATGGCGGAGGGTCAACCTGAGAGATCGGGGGAGCCTCCTGTCCTGCAAGCTCGTAACAGTATGTCATGCGGAAGGGGTGAAATCCTTACCTCTTGAGTATTTGCTCGTGCTTCCCTATAACGCATCTTTACCTCAGCTGCTAGTCACGTGAGACGTCACGGCGCCAATGGTGAGGGGACCTCCAGAAGTTTGTCAGCGCACGGCGACCATCCATCACGCGCTTGACATTTGCATGACAAAGCCACTTCAATCAAACTAGCCCATCAATCTGATAACAGCTAGAATATGTCAAACCCTGCGTGAAAGGCTCTCCGAATGAGAGAAAGAGAAATAAAGAAAGAGCGTTTCAGACTTTTGCATTGAGGTTTAGGCCTGCATCTCCTCTCATCTCTTTACTTACAATCTGCATTTAGTTTCTAGTTTTAATCGCGCAAGTTCAGTGAAGAGTGCGCTATCTTCCTACTGTAATGTTCTGAAGTAGGCCTGTGTGATCTCGATTGTCCTATTTAATAAGAGTAATGCTCACTGTTGCCTTTAAGACTCGCCGAACGCAGAGTTCATTATGTGTGTTTAGAACGGAAATCTGTTTAACACTCGAATTGGAAGTGACGCCACGGTTCGCAGATCAGTCCTGGTTGGCTTTGGACCCGTCTAATTAAATCACTGAACTGATCTGTTACCTAAACGAAATTAGGTCGACAGCGAGCCTTCTGTTGAGTCCAAACAAGCAGGAAAGGAACGTCGAGTTATTTTTTTCTCTCTCTCTCTGCCTGTGGAAACGAGTGTAGCTGCTTTGCTGTCTGGAATTGTACTCGATTTTTTTTTGTGTGTGTAGAAGGTTTGTAACTTTAGTTTTAAAATTGGAACATTATAAATCACGCTTTCTGAACCTAATCACCCAATTTTTAGGGTTATACGTCTAAGTAATGAGTTCGTCTAGAACATGGATGGCTTGACAGGCGTTGGTGGACAGCAGGAAAAGAGAGAAGCTAATAATTAATTAAGATGACAATGCTGAGCAAGTCTTCCTCTTCATATAAAGCCCACGCTCAATATAGGGGACTGAAGAAGTTCGAATATATTTGCTCATTAGTACATGGTGGTACAAGAAAGGGTAACAATATAACGCCCACAGCGATTTGTTATCTGTCGATTCACGTGCCAAGTGATTGTTACGCAGCCCACGATTCCAAACTACTTTGAGCAGTTTTTAAGTACTGTTGCTACTCTGTCCTACACTCAAGAGTCATTGAGGCTGCAGGTCCCTTTATTTTAAACGAATTCATCAGTTGATTGGTTGTGTTTTATGTGTTTTATATAGGCGAGTACCAACGTCATTAGGCGAGCAAGGCAAAAATAGCCTATACCAAAACAAACAGCAGTTTATGTTTCCAATTCATAAACGAATGATTAAGATTTAACGACTCTTGCAAATGTCTTTTGACGAAAAGAAATAGGAACTTGCCAAACTCTGAGTATTGAATACATTCGTTTCAACGATTATTAAAATTACCTCACAAAACATCTATTTATAAATTTGCATGTTTGGATGCATAGGGATTATCAAGCAATAATGAGGCAAAGATTTTGAAATAGATGTGAGATAAAAGAATTGGGACTTAAACGGTTTTTTTTTCCTTTTCAATATATACAAGATAATACATTTATAAAGGAGACTCCGTTAACATTTGTTAAAATAGAAAAGTGTCATTCAAATGTATCAATTCTATAAATAATAATAATTATCATTATTACACACCAAACTATTGTTTAGCCTATGAAATTGGCAACGTTAATTTAAAACGGCAGTGCTTGTTATTAGCCTATTATTACGTGTAGCGTTGATACAGTATTAATAAATTGTCTATTCTAAATCTGATCTAGTATCACTATCACTATATTATCACTATATTTGCATAAGCGTAAACGTTCTTCTGACGCAAAAAGCGCACCCTCGCGGCTCGCAGTTGTATTCCAGCGTAAGTGAGTATTACAACTCTGTAAAACAGCTATAAACTAATCTGCTATAAAGTAAACAGCTATGAACTAATCTGAGAAAAAAAACGAACTGTTGATCATTTAAACTTGGTTTTTACTTTCATTATTCTCAATATTAACCTTACTGTGTTGTATATAATCACGAGGCCGATGCGGTCGTTTGGCAGGATTGTTCGCAATGGCTCGATTTGCATATAACATTTCAGTTCTGGATAAAAAATAATAATAAAAACTCTGTAACTCAGGAATATCCTTAATATATGTCGTTTAACTTTGATTTTGTAGCATAGCCATGGCTTGGTCGAATGCACATGTCACATGCTTAATGTTTTCAGAACTGTGAAGATTGTTTGACTGAAATCACTGCAATACATTAACCAGTGAAAATAGGCTGATGATATACACCACCTAATGTAATGTCATGTAGCCTAACAGTTGTGAATGATGTATGTATGGGAGCATTGTTTAGAGTGTAGCAATGATCCCATACATTTAAAATTAAAATTTGGGTAAAATATGGACAAACCCAAATGTTGGGTTAAAAATGTTAAACCAACTTCAGCTTTCACTTTCAACTGTATTTTTTTTTTTTAATTACATTTTTAACCCAACATTTGGGTTTGTCCATATTTTACCCAAATTTGGGTTGAAACAACCCAGCATTTGTTAGTGTATGTTGAGTGTATGCTGTTTAATACAAAACCTTAAAACATATTTTTTTTTCTTCCTCAGTTTTTACACTCTGGCAGTTCTTTTCCTATTTTGTTAGGCAAAACCTAAAATTGCAGCTGATACTAATGGACCTACCATCATAACAACCTCTGAATTTTTTTTTTTTTGTTTTCTTTTGTTTTGCATGAACAAGTCATTAACTTGCATAATGAATGGCCCTTGAAGCCATTCAAATAGCTTAGTTTTCTTTCTTGTTTCCACGCCATGCGCTCAACATTGAGAGCTTGTACACTTAGCTGCACGTGTTAACCTTAACTCCACAGATGACATCTTGTTATTATTTCATTTTACCATTTAACTTGCAGTTCCTCAGCCCAGGCCTTTTAATATTCTCAATTCTGATAGCTGGCTCCTTTCCTTCACCCTCCAACCCTTCCTCGGTGTCATCACTTGAGCAGCTGATGTGCGGTGAGCCCAGGTTGGCTTATCAACAGCCTTATTTATTCATAGGTGGAGATTAAGATATTTCCATTGCACACGTAAAGTGCATGTGTTAATAAAATCGCTATACAAATTAAATGATTTTACTCAAGTATCCATCCTTTGAGAGGTGACACCTACCCAAAGTCTGTCATGCCCTCATTTTCATATGCTACTCAGAGGTTAAATGGGCCATCGGCTCTGTCTCCTAAATTATCCAAGTCGTCGTATAATAAACAAACTTAGGACATGCTGATTGTCTGAATTTCACTTCCAAATTGATCCAGATAATTTATCTTACTCCACTGATGCAAACAACCAAATGGGTGAACCAATGGTATGGGTTTGGTTTTTGCCAGTTTACCCGACTTAAGTGCTTAAGTGAAATGAGATTGCTAGAACTCAAGCACCCTCTCCTCAACATGCATGCTATACACATCTCTCTAGTTGTCTCATCTGACTTACATTCTTTTCCAATTTTTTCAAACATTCAGCGTAAATATGTGTGCACACTTAATTTGCTAGTTCAAACATATTACCATAGCATTCAATAAATCAGATTTTTAGCAGATGCAGGCACAATTATTCATCTTACTGTCCTCTTAGACAAACTATGCAAAAGATCTCCTGACATGATTCAGATACTGTGCAATACAGGCGTATCTGGAAAGAAAAATAGGAGTTTGTGTGAATACAAGCTGTTAGTCTTTGTCATTCTTTGTTATTCTAAGACAACAGGGTCACGCAAGGTCTCCACAAAGCACAGTCTATGGGTTGACCTTGTTTAGACTGTCACAATCTGTTGTTTAACGATATGGCCTTGCTCAGGTTAGTGTCAAATGAATGCATAATCTTTCTATCTATATATCCATATAACATCTATCTATCTTCAAATATCTCTGCTCAAGCTCATCACCTCCTTAAAAAAATTCACAACCATCTTCAATATGTTAGCTTTCCATTGTAAACAATAGCCCCCTCCCCCCAAAAAAACTATTTTCAAGATTTGTCATCACAACGTTTTTTCTTTTGTCAAATCAACTTAAGTAATTTATTTAGTTCAGATAACATAATATTTTGAGCTTCTGTTGATTAAATCAATCTCCTTCATTGTATTAACTCACTTTACCATTTCAATCAACTTAAAATTTAAAGGCAACCAGGTTACTTATTTTTTTACGTTAAACTAACAATAACATAAAAATAAATAAATGCATAGATAAATTCACTTTATGCATGATTGTTTTTATCTTGTTTATAATTAAAACAAGTGGATGAATCTGCCAGCGTAATGAAACAAAATACACTGGTATTAATGAACCAGTACCATGAAGCTATGTAAAATTAACCTCTCGCTGTCAAATCTCTCACAGGGCACTCTCTCTTTGTCAACTATATGCAAATCAGATGTAAACTTTCTGGGCAGGTGTTGTCATTTCAGGTGGTTGAGTAGCAAAGTGGAGGTTGCCCATGTGTGACTAAATCTTAAGTGCTTTTGCTAGATACACACAGATTTTCATAAAGTCACTGGTTTAAAGTTTCATGTATTGGGGTCACGGACATACATGAGGTCTCAAATGAGTAGCATGCATTTAACATGATCATGTTTAATAGCTCAATTCTGTTAATCAGTGTAAAGACTTTTTACATTTCTAATCTAAATAAAAAAAAAGATTGTTGTAAAGGCAAAACATTGGTTTTCAAACAATAAAATATTTAATAATTTATAAAATTCCATATTTGGCTCTTTAAATAGGCCTACGTTTTACAATGAAGGTTATGGTAGTCTTATTAGCCTGCTGATCGGTTATTGAGAGATGTAACATGCACTGTTCAAATAAGCTGTATTTGATATTTTGATGTAGATGCATTACATGCTTTGTTTAAAATTTTGCATCACAGGCCTGGTTTCTTGACAGCTGGGGTTTAAGGGTCAAGTATGTAGATGGTCTATGCTGGGTCAACTGATTTTGTAGCTCACATACCTAAAGCTCAAGTTTGACTGTTTAAACTATTGATAAGTCATACATGCCTCTCCATCACACAGTCACACTGTTGCCGTTACAAGATGAATATGTGTGGCATCTATTTATGGCTAATCATGATTAATACATTCTAAAAAATGCTGGGTTGTTTTAACCCAGTTTTGGGTAAAATATGGACAAACCCAAACATTGGGTAAAAAATGCCCCTTAAAATGTTAACCCAATTATTGGGTTCGTCAATATTTGATCCAGATTTGGGTTGAAGTACCCCAGCATTTTTTTAGGTTGTACTAGAAATTATATAGAATATACCACCACTAGAAATAGGCTTTATTGTGAGTGTTTGGCATGCATGCGGTTACAATTTTCAAGATGTTGATAGAAATATTGCACAATGTTCAGCTTCATGGAATGGCCTAAGGGCTGCTTACTCTGCGGCTTTTGCTTTATGATGAATTGAATTTTGTATTAAAAAAAAAAATACAAAGCCCTTATCTCTCATTCAGCATGATTGATATATGCTTATGATTGCATCACTACAGATTACAAACCATCATATTTGTATAATGTCAAGAAAAATCATTCAAGTCTATTATTTTACTTTGTGTGATTGGGACACTTT